TTATTTTGAAAAAAGAAATGATAAAGGACAGGGGGTTAAAATAAAGGACTGTTCTTTAAAATAAAGGACAGATGGTCACCGTAACTTTAGCACCGATTATTCGATTTTCAAAATTGAGGTGCCAAATTAAAGGGCTTGGCCTCTAGATGTACATGTATGACTTTTTGAATAGGGTTGGCACCTTTTTTAAAATTATAAAACCTGCACCGTCCGTTGTATTACAAAAACTGAGGTATCAAATAAAAGGGCTTTATTTTTGAGTAGAGCATCAGATTTACGCCGTTCTATCGATTCTGGGCGCTGTAATGTAGTGGTTAGCATTGCGCGATACCACTCCGCAGTGCCTGGGTTCAAGCCCTGGCCAAATCAACGTCGCAAAAAAAAAATTTAAAAAAAGGTTTTTTCTTAACAACGGTCGCCCCTCGGCAGGCAATGGCAAAACTCCGAGTGTATTTCTGCCATGAAAAACAGATTCCAAATAAAAATACAATCGCCGCACTAAGGGGTATTTGAGGAAAAAAACCGGTCAAAAGTGGTTTTTCTAAAATTCATAAAATGACACAAACAATGCATGTTTAAGTAAGTACGATAACCGGTTCACCGCCCCACAGCCCCCAAACCCGCGTGTTTTTCTGCGTCTGGCCACATAATCAGTCGGAACCTAGCCTTTGTGTGTAACGCGTGTCTTTGTTCTCGGCGCTTTTGATTATTTTACATATTTCTCTATGTTAATATGTCTTCGTATGGTGAATTACCAAAAAAACTCTTATTGGATATGGATGTTGAAGGTATGTACTTTGTATAAAAATATGTTACAGTTAATTTCTCGTCAAAGTTCCTCATTTAGACTTATGTTGAAAATTTCCTTCTTAAAAACGTGGTATTTTTAACAAAAGTTTGAAACAATAGTGTTTTTGTTTATGTGTCGAGCTTTGTCGCCTTGCATTTAAAATGTGGTAATAAAGTTTGAACTTTAGCCTATCTGAATGAAAAATAAAATCACCCCCGACCCACCCCAACCTTTTTAATTTTTTTTAGTCAAAGGCAAAATTTTTCAAAAAATATATAGTACATCGAAAATCAAGCTAAAAATCTGAAGAAAACTGTAGACAGTGAAATATCAGTAAAAATCAGTCACAATATTTTGCTGACAATGGTGGACGGAAAGGTCTGCAACTCCGCAGCGGTACCGCAGGTAGTGGTAGGAAAAAAATGTTGTCTGTGGCAACGCTGCCTACAGTCCACAAAATTCTGATGCACGGAGCGCAAGTGATGGCAGAAGCAATTCTGCCAATTGGACAATTGTCCGAGGAAGAATAAAAAGAAAATCTTGCCATTTTCGGCCGAGGCAAAAACCATTTTGATTACTGCAACACCGAACTTAAATAGGTCGGACGACAATACTGTTGAAGATATTGATGATAATGAAGAGGATTCGGATGTTAACAGCGAATCGGATGGCACTGACTCCGGTTAAAATCAAATTTTCTATTTGTATTTTAGAATGTTTTTTTCTGGTTAATTTATGCATTTTTATTAAGAAATCCAAAATATTGATTAGATATTGTTTTTTATTATATTTTGAGATAATATAGGCCCCTAAATAATTTTGACCGGATTTTTGGCTCAAATACCCCTTAGTGCGCCGTTCGGAGTCGGCGTAAAACTGTAGGTCGTCCCTTTGTGTGACAACATCAAGGCGCACGCTACAAATCGGAGTAGAAGCTCGGCCAAACACTAACATATGTGTAAGCGCCAATCTATTATTATATATAATCGGTCTTAAAATGAGGTGTCAAATAAAAGGGATTGACCCACAGACGTGCTTTGGTTTTTGGTTTGGCCCAATTAAAAATGCTTTCTTTGAAATATGATAGTCAGTAATATATCACAATATGAGCATCACGCTAAATGGATTTGAGACTAATTTAATATGTTGGTGTCTTTAATACAGTTGCCACTTACAGGTCTATTCTGCGCTGGTAATAAAAAGTTTGTAACCGGTAAATAAAGTTACTGTCAATTTTTAAACCCTTTTCGCATTCTGCGTAATCTTGTAACCGGTAAATTTTGTTACCATCTCATAAGCTGGTAACAAAGTACAAACAATTCTTCATAGCTGAATGGCTGAATATTTTAACTGCATTACCAACGTACCTAGAATCGCGGTGACAAGAACTGGTAACGTTTTTTGGTAATAAAATTTTCCGGTTACAAAATCTTCGGTAACGTGCAGAATAGACCTGTTATTAAACAAATGTATACCTATGAATGGTAAGTAGGGCATGGAAATCTATCCAAANTGCAGAATAGACCTGTTATTAAACAAATGTATACCTATGAATGGTAAGTACGGCATGGAAATCTATCCAAATAACTACATGTTTTTCTTGGACTTAGGTAAAGCGAAATAGATCAAGTATCTATGCGAATCATGAAATTATCTTAGAAATGGCATTCAAATGTTTTTTGCATATTTTTCATATTTTAGTCATAAATGCATATTTTTCGCATATTTCGCATATTTTGCATTATATTGACTCTTGAAAACTTTACAAATCTGCAAATCGTGCATATTTCTCTAGTTCGTACTTTTACGGATATTTAATTTTGTAAATTCGTTAGTTGGCAGCTTTACACAAACAAAATACACGTAAAACTCCTCATGACGAAGTACGGAGGTTAGTGTGAACACGGCTATCATTTATTTTCGATGTAGTGCGAAATCTATTGGCAAACATAAAAGTATTGGTTTTTCATGTTTCCGGGCCACTCTGTAAACCATTAGAAGGCAATTTTTAGTAACAATTTTATCCCAGAGAAAATTTTGGAGAAAAATCAAGGATTTAAAAAATAAAAGGATATTGCGACCTTTTTTGATTTGAGTAATGAAAAAAGTGTTTTACAAATTGAATATACTCCAAGCGAACTGGTTCTATGTATAAGAGCTTTTTATGATCGAACCAGGGAAATTTTCTTTTTGAGAATATGAAAAAATATTTTATTGTGGACGCTAATGAGTAGCTAACTAAAGATTGAGCCAAATTATGTGATATACTAGTATTTTAAGACTGAATTTTTCTACTTATGGGTCATTCCATAGAAAAGAGGAAAACGACATAAACTTAAATATGCCCTAATTATCTCTATTTCAGTAACCTCTTTTTAGATGCCTACATTTCATTAACCTGTGGGAAAATATTAAAAAAATCAAAATAAGTTGTAATTTTTGTCTATGGAAACTCCTTGTGATGTCCCACCAGTCACAATTTTAAATATTTTTTAATATTTCTATGAAGATTATACAAACCTCAATTTTATTGAAAACAAAAGCGTATAATTCATATTTCATAACACAACTACATCGTTCGTGAAAATTGTTTTGGCTAAAATTAATCTTTTAGTGCACAAGGGTAAAATAGAGTTATTTTCAGTGTCCCACCAGTCACATTCATTAAAATGGTAGATACATAAAAATAATAAATCGTTTGGTATTTTTGTTAAAGCAATTTCATACATTAGTTATCGACTTATGTTAAAAAATATATTTCGCATAGTTAAAATTCACAATTGATCACATTCTGGAGTAAAATGTCCCACTAGTCAGAGTGTATTGGCCCAAATATACATCCGTGTATTGAAATGTACGTATTTGCTAAAAGCAAAATTGAATGAAATATTTTTTGTACCTAACTTTATTTATCTTTAAAAACTTCAATAAACGTATGAATCAACTGAAGGCTTATATAATGATTTTACTGCATTTTTTTTAATTTATAACGCATTTTTTTTGTTTTTCATGCATATTTTTAATTTTTTGTTGCATTTTTTAAGCACATATTTCGTATTTTTTAGTGCATGAAAATTCATGCCCTAACGGTAAGTAGTGTAAGTAAGGATATTCGATATTGCTATAAAACGAAAGCTAGTTGAGAGGGCTTTTGTGTAAATGTATGCGAATTATCGAGGGTTGTCACCTAGTTTATAATTATTGATTGAAATATTCTAGTTAATTAAAATGTTACAAAGTGGGCTTCAAACAAAAAGATTTTAAACTAAATTAATATGATCGTGTTTTTAATATACATAGTTGCCACCTACGTCAGAAAATGTTGCGCGTTTCAAATAATGTTTAAGGATATCCAATATTGGTATCAATTGAAATGGAGTTCGGTAAGATTCTGTTTAGTGTATGCAAATTTGGAGGGTTTCCCCTAGTTAACAATGAAAAAGGTCTATAGCGATGAACGGTTAGTAATTTAATGATGGTATCCAATATTAGTATTAAACTAAAAGGTAGAGAAAGAATGTTTTATAAATATATGTATATATTTGTTCGAGGGTTGCCCATTAGCTCAAAATTTACATCAGGCAATACGATTTATAATTAGGTGGCAAACCTTTAAAAAAACATTAAAGCGAAAGCACGTCTGTAGGCCAATACTTTTCATTTGATACTTAGTTCGAGAGAACGTTTTTAAATCGGATACTCTGCACAAAAATAACTAATTTTTAACAAATGGCCACCCTTTTTAAAAAAATAAGACGTCCTGCAGACCTGTAGGCCAAGCACTTTTATATGGCATCTGATTTTTAAAAATCGCGCGAACGGTGTAAAGGCATAAATTACCTATTACTTTCTGCTCAAAAAATAAAAGGCAAATTTGTAACTTTTATTTTTGCGATATAAAAAAATAAAAATCAGAACCAATCGGTATTATTCGCTCAAAATTATCAAAGTCAAATTTTTAAAATTCATGTAGGAATCCCAATCTACAATGAGAGATGAGTCTAATGGTACGTTTTAAAAAGCTATAGCATAATTTTTTCACTATGCCTTTTTGATGTAAACAGTTTTAAAATAACTTTTTTTTCAGTCTCTGGTTATTTTGATATTTACGAAAACTCTTTATGTATGTATGCATGTTTGTATGCAGATACATAAAAACCCAATAAGTCTTAAACTAATCTTTTAATAGTATATTTTTTCTCTGTTTTAGGTTTTTAAACTGAAGGGTGCTGATCGCAAGCATAAACAGGATCGCGAAAAAATACAAAGGCGGCCTCAAGCAGAGCAAGAAAAATTCCAGCCAAGCTATGAATGCACCATTATGAACGACATACCTTTAGAGTTGATAACTTCAACAACTTCTGGCAGCTTCAGTCCTGAATAGTAAGATTTTTCACAACTAACATAATATTTACGGTAATGAAAAACATTATGTTAGGTACGAGTATAATAAATAATAGCCCGAGCGTACTTGTGCACAAATGTATTATAACTTTGTTCGCGTGACCGTTGTTGCAACAGCCTAAAGTAATCGAGATATATATAGACATATATATACCACAATACTCAGAATGAAAAGAGATGCCGATTTAGCTATGTCTGTCCGTCCGTGTGTACGATAACTCAGTCGAAAATTTAGATATCTCAACGAAATTCGACATGAAGTTTGCCCTTCATTTAAGGTAGGTTGGTATTGAAAACGGGTGATATAGGACGGTTACCATGCCCGTCACCTATGTAACGGTGTTTTCGAAAAATGCACAAATTACGATTTTTCGGAAAAACTGGATCCAAATTGTTGAAAATTGGAAAGTGAATGGAATTTTGGCATAAAATAAGACAATTAGGCATTTTTTTTTAATTCATCAATATCTACCAAACTCGGTAAAATTATTACTGGTATTGAAAAGCGATAAGTTGAAAATTTTTAAAATCGGCATAAAATTACGCCCACTTCCTATGTAAGGGTATCTTTCAGAAATTACATAAACTCCTATTGTTTAGCTGAGGGAGAGCGGGAGACCAGGGGTCGAATCGTGACAGACGTGAACGAGTCGGCAATCGTACGAACACAAATTACGTGATCGTTTAATCGAATATTGTTCATTCGGATGATAACAATCGAAGGCGAACGAATCGTTATTTTTTATTTGGTTATCGATTATTTTTCTCTTCTTCTTCCTTTTTTAAGTCACAATAGACATTGAAGTGTCAAAATAAGTGAAAAGTAAATAAAGAAAAGCGGCAAAACTAAAATGGATCCGAGCCTTTTATTTCATTTAAGCTCTAGCGAAAGCGAAAATGACGAAAGAGTTGTGCGTAAGCAACTTCGGGGCAGAAGCAATCCATTGGCATTATCCGACAACGCGTAAGAAATTATACATAGGAAATAAATTACCTTCTCTACTCCTATACTTGCAGATTCATCAAAAGATTTCGGTTAAGCAAGGAGGCATTCTAGTATGTTTTATCGAAAACAAACATAAACTGCGATGACACAAAAGCCGTTCCTGCTGCTCTGCAATTGGCTGCAAGCCTCTCGCTCCTTACAAGTGGTAGCTATCAACAAACAGTTGGTAGCGATTACCTGATAGGTATGTGCCAGAGCCATATATGTAATACTCCTATATTGGCAGTAAGAGCTAGTACCGTCCGAAAACACTACAGTACAGATATATCAATAAACACGTACGAAAGAAAAGTTCACTCACTCGTTCACGCCTGTCATAATACCGAATTACGATATAAGAAGTTCGTTCACGTCTGTCACAATCCGATTTTGTCATTTTTACGTGACGAGTTGCTCGTTCACGACTGTTACGATTCGAGCCCAGGTTTAGAGTTGTACTCAGTGTTGCCGCGGCGTTCAGAATAAATGTATCGACAAAATTCCCTAAAATGGATCAAAAGTATCATGAAAAAAAACTTTAAGTATCAAAGTATCAATCTTCAATAAAACCTCTAATTCTTAAATTAAAATGGTAGTTTGAATTTTTAATTGAGATCGTTAACACTTTTTATTAATATTTTTTGGTTTTTATATAAAATACAGAGTGAAAATAAAACTTTTATATTCTTGTAACAGTTGAATTCATTTGCATACTTAACTAAAATCAGATATGAAATTGGATTACCGGATTACTCTAGATGAAATTCTTAAGGCTACAGAGTAGTGTTGTTTGGAAATTCTTTCATTGAGCTGAACTCAAATTTCTAAAGAACACCACTCTCGATGAAAAACGTATCATTTTGATCCATTTGGATCGAGTGGTTGTAATCGAGTTAGAGAATAAGGGGCATTGCATATGCCTGATATGAGAGAAAGAGAGGCCGATGAAGCGGTAGCACAAGATGTGACCCTTCTACCATGTATAAGTTGGGTGACTCCATAAGAGGAGTCATGTTCTAGCTGCCGTAGGCTGCTGTGCAATGAGCTGGGATTTATTCAGCGATGCATTCATGCAGAACCCCTGTGCGGCTTGTAAGCCGTAGCTTACCACCATGCAGAAAATTGCTCCGGAAGTGGAGTGTGAGCGATGCTTGAAGCGCCGTGTGATAGCAAAGCTGGGTAAGCTTTGACCATGGCTGAAAATTCGAGCGACTTATCACTTCCCTATATGCAGCGAAGAGGGTGGTTCCGTGCGCAGAATTGAAAAAATTTTGACTGCCATTCACCTGGGAGTGGCCAGAAGCGATTCTTGTGCGTACGGTTCAAATCGCAGCTCACAGCGTCCGGATATTTATATCCACGTATCCTCTGGGTAGCAACCAAACACCCGTTTGGGAGCGAGCTAAAGTGAGAATGCGTAAAACTTCGCGTGCGCTTTGTTTGGGTCCCGCCACGTTAAAACCCCGCCCAATGAAAAACAACAAACAGCCTCGGATGAGACCCCCTTTTTTTGATGACGAACGTATAAAGGACTATGATTTAAGTGTATGCACCTGGAATATCTGGACCCCTAACGGGGAAGGTCTACCCGGCTGGTTGATGTCCTCGGGAAGACAAATGCTGACATCACCTCCATCCAAGAAATGCGATGGACGGGGCAAGGAAATGTAAGTGGGAAGACTTGCGACGTCTACTACAGTTTCCACGTAAAATAGTGCAAATTCAGTGTTGGATTCGTGGTAGGAGTGAGACTCCGCGCCGAGTGCTGGCGTTCACCCCGGTGGGCGAACATCTAGCCACAATCCGCATCAAAGCGAGATTCTTCAACATCTCGCTGATCAGCGCACATGCCCCGACGGAAGAGAAGGACGAGGCGTCCAAGGATCTCTTCTATTAGCGCTTAGAGCGTACATATGAGCGCTGCCCGCGAAACGATGTTAAATTCGTTCTCGGCGATTTTAATGCCAAGGTGGGCAAGGAAGGGATCTTTGGCGCAACTGTCGGAAAATTCAGCCTCCACGACGAAACGTCCGACAACGGACTGCGGCTGATCGACTTCGCCGAGGCGCGAAACATGGTAATATGTAATATTAGGTTCCAGCATAAGAACATCCACCAAGCTACATGGCTGCCTCCAGATCTAAAAATGAGAAACCAAATCGACCACGTTGTGATAGACGGAAGGCATTCTTCTAGCGTTTTAGACGTACGTACACTCCGAGGGCCAAACATCGACTCGGACCACTATCTTGTTGTAGCCAAAATACGCACCCGCCTCTGTGCTGCAAAAAATTTGCGCCCAGCAATGCAGGAAAGCTTAACGTCGAAAAGCTGGAATCACATCAAACGGTCAATTTATTCGCCACTCGACTCCCACACCTGCTCTCTGAGAGCACTCTTCATCAATCCGACATAATCGAGCAGTGGAACCACATTTCCCGATCATTAAGTACCGCCGCCGAAGAAGTAGTTGGATTTCAGCGAGCCCGAAAGAACAACTGGTATGATGAGGAATGTCAAGAAGCCGCAGAGAAAAAAGACACCGCCTATAGGACCACGCTGCGACGGGCGCAACACGAGCCATGTGGGACTGTTATGGGGAACTGAAGAAGAAAACGAGACGTATTTGCCGCAATAAGAAGAGATAGGCCGAAATCCGTTTGTGCGAAGAGCTTGAAATGCTAGCCGACAGGAAAAACGCCCGAAAATTTTACCAGAAGGTTAGGCGACTTACGGAAGGTTTCAAAAGCAGGGAAAACTCGTTTAAGAACAACAATGGAGACCTAGTGACCGATGTCCAGAACGTACTTGAATTATGGATAGAACACTTTTCCACCCTACTGGGTGGAGGAGTTGATAAGGTGCAGGTATCAACTCTTATGCAGAATATGGTCAGATGAACGCATGTCAAACGACTGGAATTTAAGTGTTAACTACCGCAGAATCAGCCTTCTAAGCATAGGTTATAAGGTCTTATCTAGTGTATTGTGCGAAAAACAGAAGGTCACCGTCAACGAACTGATTGGACATTATCAGTGTGGCTTTAGGCCTGGCAAATCCACAATAGATCAGGTATTAACAATACGCCAATTCTTGGAAAAGACCTACGAGAATAGGATCGACACGCACCATCTATTTGTCGATTTCACAGCCGCTTTCGACAGCACGAAGAGAAGTTGTCTTTATGCCGCGATGTCTTAATTTGGTATCCCCACGAAACTAATACGGCTGTGTAAAATGACGTTGAGCAATACCACCAGCTCCATCAGAATAGGGAAGGACTTCTCCGAGCTGTTTCATACCAAACGAGGGTTCAGACAGGGTGACTCCCTCTCTTGTGATTTCTTTAATCTGACGTTGGAGAAGATAATAAGAGCCGTAGAACTGAACCGCTCACGCACAATACTTTACAAGAGTGTACAATTGCTGGCGTATGCCGACGACAGCGATATTATCGGTAAAAACAAGGGCTACGTCTGTTCTGCCTTCTCGAGATTGGATAGAGAAGCAAAGCGAATGGGTATGGTGGTGAACGAGGACAAAACGAACTATCTCCTGTCATCACACAAACAGTCAGAGCATACGCGCATTGGCACCCACGTCACTGGTGACAGTTACAAGTTTGAAAAAGTATACGACTTCGTTTATTTGGGAACCAGCATTAACACCAATAATAATGTCAGCCTTGAAATCCAACGGAGAATCACTCTTGCCAACAAGTACTACTTTGGACTGAGTAGGCAATTGAGAAGTAAGTTCTCTCACGTCGTACAAAGATCACACTCTATAAGTCACTCATCATGCCTGTGCTGGTGTATGGCGCGGAGGCATGGACAATGAAAACATCTGATGAAGCGGCTCTTGGAGTTTTCGAGACAAAGATTCTGCGAAAGATTTACGTACCGTTACGCGTTGGCGATGGCGAATACCACAGACGATTTAACGATGAGCTGTATGAGCTTTACAACGATATGTACATAGTGCAGCGAATTAA